TTTGTTGTTAGGTAGCTTTTTTATTACCAATTCAATTTCAATGCTAGTAATTGGTGTGTTCAGATTTTCTGTTTCTTTCTGGGCCAGCCTTGGGAGGTAGTATTTTGCTAGAAAGCTGTCCATTTCTTCCAGGTTATCCAGTTTGTTAGCATATAATTTTTCATAGTATTCTCTCATAATTATTTGTATTTCTATATTATCTGTAGTGATTTTTCATTTCTGATTATGTTTATGTGTGTAGATTCTCTTTTTTTCTTGATAAATCTGGCTAGGTGTTTATCTATTTTATTTTTTTTGAAGAACCAGCTCCCTCTTTCATTGATTCTATTGTTTTATTCTTCTCAATTTTAGTTATTTATGCTCTAATCTTTATTATGTCCCTCCTACTAGCTTTTGACCTCTCTTGTTCTTCTTTTTCTATTTTTGTTAATTGTGAGTTTAGACTGTTCATATGTGATTGTTCTTCTTTCCTGAGGTAGGCCTGTATTGCCATATAATTCCCTCTTAGCATGGCCTTTAATGTGTCCCAGAGATTTTACAGTGCTGAATTATTGTTGTCATTTATCTCTATATATTGCTTGGTCTCTGTTTTTATTTGGTCACTGATCCATTGGTTATTTAGGAGCATGTTGTTAAGCCTCCATGTGTTTGTAGACTTTTTCATATTCTTTGCATAATTTATTTCTAGCTTCATACCTTTGTGGTCTGAGAGGCTGGTTTGTACAATTTCAGTCTTTTTCAATTTACCGAGGCTCTTTTTATGGCCTAGTATGTGATCTATTCTTGTAAATGTTCCTTGTGCACTTGAGAAGAATGTGTATCCTGCTGGTATTGGGTGTAGAGTTCTGTAGATGTCTGTTAGGCCCATCTGTTCTAGTGTGTTGTTCAGCGCCTTTGTGTCCTTGCTTATTTTCTGTCTGGTTTATCTGTCCTTTGGAGTGAGTGGAGTGTTGAAGTCTCCTGGAATGAATGCCTTGCATTCTATTTCTCCCTTTAATTCTGTTACTATTTGTTTCACGTATGTAGGTGCTCCTGTGTTGGGTACATAGATATTTATGATGGTTATATCCTCTTGTTGTATTGACCCCTTTATCATTATGTAATATCCTTTGTCTCTTTTGACTTTCTTTGTTTTGAAGTCTATTTTGTCTGATACAAGTACTGCAATTCCTGCTTTTTTCTCCCTAGTAGTTGAATGAAATATCCTTTTTCCATCCCCTCACATTTAATCTGTGCATGTCTTTGGGTTTAACATTAGTCTCTTGTAAGCAGCATTTGTTTTTTTATCTATTCAGGCATTCTTTGTCTTTTGATTGGTGCATTCAGACCATTTACATTTAGTATGATTATCGATAGGTATGTACTTATTTCCATTGCAGGCTTTAGATTCATGGTTATGAAAGGTTCAGGGTTAACTTCCTTACTATCTAAGAGTCTAACTTAACTCAGTATGCTATTACAAACACAATCTAAAGGTTCTTTTTTTCCCCTCATTTTTCTTCCTCCTCCATTTTTTATATATTAGGTATCATATTCTGTATTCCTTGTCTATCCCTTGTATTACCTCTGGTGACAGCTATTTAACCTTAGGAACATTTACATCTATAACAGTACCTCCAAAATATACTGTAGAGATGGTTTGTGGGTGGTAAATTCTCTCAGTTTTTGCTTATCTGGAAATTGTTTAATTCCTCCTTCAAATTTAAATGATAATCTTGCCGGATAGAGTATTCTTGATTCTCAGCCCTTCTGCTTCATGGCATTAAATACATCATGCCACTCCCTTTGGGCCTGTAAGGTTTCTTCTGAGAAGTATGATGATAGCCTGATGGCTTTTCCTTTGTATGTGATCTTTTTTCTCTCTCTGGCTGTGTTTAATAGTCTCTCATTATCCTTGTTCTTTTCCATTTTAATTATTATATTTCTTGGTGTTGTCTTCCTTGGGTCACTTATGTTGGGATATCTGTGCACTTCCATGGTCTGAGAGCATATTTCCTTCCCCAGGTAAGGGCAGTTTTCAGCAATTACTTCCTCAAAGACATTTTTCTCCCATTTTCTCTCTCTTCTTCTTCTGGTACCCCTATAATTTGAATGTTGTTTCATTTGGATTGGTCACACTCTTCTCTCAGTATTCTTTCATTCCCAAAGATCCTTTTTTCTCTTTGTGTCTCAGCTTCTTTGTATTCCTCTTCTTTCATTTATATTTCATTTATTGTCTCCTCCACTGTATCTGATATGCTTTTAAATCCCTTAGTTGCATTCCTCAACGATTGGATCTCCATCCTGAATTCTTTCCTGAAATCTTGAATATTTTCTGTACCTCCAGTAGCATGTTTATGATTTTTATTTTGAAATCTTTTTTAGAAAGATGGATTAGTTCAGTCTCATTCAATTCTTTTTCTGATGTTTTTCATATTTTGCTTTGAACCAGGTTACTTTGACGTTTCATATTTGTATGCGGTACCCTCTAGTACCCAGACATTCTACTCTCTGGAGCTACTCAGCCCCTGGAGTGATGTCAGGGGTCACAGGGGAGTGGTGCCCATGCCTGGGGGAGGAAAGAGCTTTTTACTGCTTCCCAGCTTCTATGCCTGTGTCCACTGCCAGAACCAGTGGGTCAAACACACAGGTGTAAGCCTTTGTGCTTTGCATTTGAAGCTGCTATAGGCTGGACTTCCCTCTGGCTCGCCTGATGCCATGGCACGGTTTGCCAGTTTGTGAGCCAGCTGCAGACTGGCCTGCATATCACAGTGAGGGGCCTTGGAGCTGCATAGCCACCCAGGGGGGTGGAGCACCTGAAGATTGTGAAAGTTCCCAGCCTCCTGGGCAGAGTGCACCCAGACAAATTTGTCTACCTGTTCTTTCTCCTGAGCAGTAAGCTCTGTGTAATCCTTGCCCCTTTACCAGCCATCTTGCTTTTAGGAAGTCTCTCAGACTGCCTGACCAGATCAGCTGGATATAGATCTCTGTTTTCCACAAGCAGTTGCAATCTCAGTCTCTCCAGGTATTCCACCTATCTTAGGTTTCCACCCCCACTGGTTACCAGAGCACCATGCAGTGTAGGTTCATGGTCCCAGAGGAGATCTCCAGTGCTAGGTGTTCAGCAGTCCCACTCCTCCACTCCCTCTCTGCTCCGTTTCTCTTCCTCCAGCTGGTAAGCTGGGGTGGGGGAAGAGCTAGGGTCCTGCTGGGTCATCGCTTCAGTATGTTACCCTTTTCCGTGAGGTCTGTTCTCTTCTGCAGGTGTATACAGTCTGGCACAACCTTTTTTCCTGTTGCTCTTTCATGATTAGTTGTAATAATTATATTTTCATATTATATGTGGTTTTAGGAGGAGATCTCTGTCTCACCTCTCACACCGCCATCTTTGATATGTTAAATTTTGTTTACTGTTCTTGCATTTACTTTTATGAGAAAGTTTGGCCCATAATTTTCCTTTCTTGTAATGTCCTTGCCAGCTACTGATATGACGATTACTGGCAAAATAACTTTTGACAGAAAATGTTAGGAAAAAATCCCACTGAGTTTTTAGAAAATGGTAGTAGAATGCTTCATTTTAAAAACTGGAAATCTTCAGTTTCTGGCTTAGATGATGTGGATTTTTTCAAGATGATCCCTTCCATCAATAATATAAGCTGCTATGAAAAAAATTATAATGATTTTATTTATATACTATAAATAGTATATATTATATAAGACATTTATATATAAGCACATATACAGAAATTTAAATTATTATTTTTATAATGAGCTCAGTAAGTGGTCTGAGTAGTAATATAGGCATACTGAAAATTGAATCAGTAGGCTAAAAGATCAAGTGCAAGGATTCCTTCAACACATAGTACAAAAACACAAAGAGATGAAAAGAATGTCGTCCTGATTTCTAATATCTACCTGATAGGAGTTCCAGAAAGAGAAAATGGAATTGAGATAAAGCGTGCCTCAAATGAAGAATGATTGCACCTTTAGGTCAGGGATCAGCAAACATTTTCGTTGAAGGCCAGATAGTAATGTTTTAGGCTTTGTAGACCTTAACAATGCTTGTTACAAATACTCAGCTCTTCTGTGGTAGTATGAAAGCAGCCATAGACAGAAAATAAATGAGTGACTGTATTCCAATCAAATTTTATTTACAAGAAATGGGGGCTGTCTGAATCTGGCCCATGGCCATCATTTACTGACCCCTACTTTAGATTGAGAAGGCCCACTGAGTGCCATGTCAACCTTTCTGTCTTTGGATTTACGTATCCTAGATGTTTCATATAAATGGAATCACATGTGACCTTTGGTGTCTAGCTTCTTTCACTTAGCATGTTTTTGAAATTCATATGCACTGTAGCTTGTTTCAGTACTTACTGTTTTTTATAGTAGAATATTCCCTTTAGGTATCAGTATTTATTTTTTTAATGGCCAAATATTCCATTGTGTTAATACAGCACATTTTGTTTATCCATTAGTTTGTTTGTGGACATTTGGATTGTTTCCACTTTTTTGCTATTGTGGGTAGTGCTGCTATGAACATTTAACTATAAATACTTATTTGAGTAACTTTCCATTTCTTTAGATATATACCTAGAGGTAGAATTTTTGGGCTTTGTGGCAATACTGTTTAACTTTTTGAGGAACTGCCAAGCTGTTTTCCACAATGGCTGCACCAATAACATGCCCACTAGTAAGTTAAAAGTGTTCCAGTTTCTTCACATCCTTTCCAACACTTTGGTCGTTTTCACTTTTTTGTTATAGCCTTGGTATGAAACAGAAGAGTTTTTTATAGCTTAATGAATCTCATTTAATCTCACAAACATTGGGAGAGAGGTATTCACAGAGTAAAAAATCTAATGGAAAAAGCCATAAGCTAGAAGGTAATCAGAAGTGTTAACATATTTATTTAAAATTTATTTGCATTTGATTATGAGTTGATAGTTTGGATAATAATTATCATCATAGAATTCATTTACACCCACACATATCTACATTTATTTTTTGATTCTTTCTTTTAGCTACCTGAGAAGAAAAGGAATAGTAATAAATGAAACATCTGCAGTTATATATGCTCAATTACTCACAGGTCGTAAATATCAAATAAATCAAAATGGTGAAGTTCGTCTAGAGAAACAATGGTCAAAACAAGTTCTTCCTTTTGTTTATCAAACTATTGTCAAGGTAAGTCTTCATCAGGTCTCAAATCTGTCTTGATGTGCACTATTGCACACTATTTATTGATAGAGGGCTAATATAGCAATGTATAATGGAGATTATTAATTTGCAAAATACTGTAGTCTTTTTTTCTATTGAGGTATAATTGACACATAGCAGTATATTAGTTTCAGGTGTACAACATAATGATTCCACAATTGTATACATTGCAAAATGATCACCATAATAAGTCTAGTTACTGTCTGTCAGCATTCAGTTATAGTTTTTCTCATGATGGAAACTTTTAAAATATACTTTTTTAGACTCTTTCAAATTTACAATACAATATTCTTAACTATAGTCACCATACTGTACAGTACATCCCCATGACTTATTTATTTTATAATGGAAGTTTGTACCTATTGGTCCTTCATTTCACCCAGCCCCCAATAGCCCTCCTCTCTGGCAACTACCAATCTGTTCTCTGTATCTATTAGTTTTGTTTTGTGTTCTTTTGTTTGTTTTGTTTTTTAGATTTCACACATAAGTTTGTGTGTGTGTGCGTGTGTTTGTATACACCACATCTTCTTCAGCCATTCATGCTTTCATGAACACTTAGGTTATTTACATATCTTGGCTATTGTAAATAATGCTGCAGTAAACACAAGGATGCATATATCTTTCCAAATTAATGCTCTTTATTTCTTCAGATAATACCCAGAAGTGTATAATATGGTAGCTCAATTTTTAATTTTTTGAGGAATCTCCATACTGTTTTCCATCATGGCTACACCAATTTATATTCCTACCAATAGTACATGAGGGTTTTCTTTTCTTCACATCATTCCCAACACTTGTTATCTCTTGTCCTTTAGATAATAGCCATTCTAACAAGTGTGATGTGATATCTCATTGCGGTTTTGGTTGCATTTCCCTGATGATTAATGTTTTTGAGCATCTTTTCATGTACCCATTAGCCATCTGTATGTCATCTTTGGAAAAATATGAATTCACAACCTTTGCCCATATTTTAGTCAGATTTTGGGGGATCTTTCATTGTTAAGTTGTATGAGTCCTTTATATATTTTGAATATTAACTCCTTGCTGCATATATGATGTGGTCACATCTTACATTCATAGGTTGTCTGTTCATTTTGTTGATGGTTTCTTTTGCTATGCAGAAGTTATTTAGTTTGATATAGTCTCACTTGTTTACTTTTAAATTTTTAGCCTTGCCTTTAGAGTCAGATCTAAAATATCATCACCAAAACTGATGTCAAGGAGCTTACTGTGTATGTTTTCTCCTAGGAGTTTTATGGTTTCTGGTCTTATGTTCACATCTTTAATCCATTTTGAGTTCATTTTTATGCATTGTATATAGTAGTCTAATTTTATTCTTTTGCATGTGGCAGTCCAGTTTTCCCAACACTATTTATTGAAGAGACTGTTCTTTTCCCAATTTACATTCTTGCCTACGTTGTCATACATTAATTAACCAAAAATGCATAGGTTTATTTCTGGTGTCTGTTCTGTTCCCTTGATCTGTGTCTGCTTTTTTATGCCAGTACCGTGCTGTTTTAATTACTATAGCTTTGTAATCTGCATTTAGGGGGATCCCTCACAATTGTGGGTCACTGTGTCATGGGCTAAGACCATGTCTTTACCTTGCCTTCCCATCTTGATATGACCCTTTTTTTCTTTGATGTGAAGGGAATTTTCAGGTCTTTTTCAGAGAGAATTTTTACATGTGTAGGTATAGATCTAGTGTATCCATAGGATGAGGTAAGTTCAGGGTCATCCTTCGTTGCCATCTTGAACTGCCTTGAAACACTGTTGTCTTTAAAAGGATTATTTTAATGCTCAGTCACTCTGTACAGTTGGGAAACTTGTCTTTTTTGTTTTAAACTTAATCTCTAAAAGAAAAGGCCCAGTATTAGCTTACAACCTTGCAGTTTCAGATTTGTATTCTCCAAAAAATATTTACTTTAAAGAAATTAGTAAATACAAAAGTCACTTGTTTTATATTTGTAATCTTTGATGTGGTAAAGGTTCAAAATTGTTCTAAAGCATGTACTGATCCTGTAATTTGGGGGAAATGCTATAATGTAGCAATTAAGAATATAAACTACCTGTATTGACTTCTTAGCTGCATGACTTTGGGCAAAATTCAACCCCTTTTTGTGCCTTAGTTTCCTCATTTCTAAAATGAGGCTAATAATCATCTGCCACAGGGGGTTGTCTGGAGGATTAAGTAAACTACTAGATGTGTAAAGTACCTAGAAGAGTGGCTGGCATATGAACAGTCAACAAATTTTAGCTACTAGTATTGTTATGTAGAAAATCTTTACATTTGACATTTGCAGACAGCATAGTCATAATCCCATAGAAAAAAAACTTGGTGTGCTGTCTATAGAAATTTTGACTGTGATGATATACTTTTATGTTTTGTTCTACACAGGACATCCAAGCTTTTCACTCCTGTTTCTCCAGTATCAAAACATTGGATGATTTGTTTCCTCCTAGAAGTATGGTCTTTATGCTGGGAACCCCCTATTATGGCTGCACTGGAGAAGTTAGTTTCTGTTACTGTTACTAAATTTCTAGTTTCAAGTTAATAAAATTATTTAACCTCTCTTTACTTAAATATAAAGTAAATGTTATACTGAAGGGGAAAAACAGGAAAGAACTCATTTGTCTAACTTATTAACACAGTAGTCTTCTATATGTTATTAAGTCTTGAGCAGGTTGGGATCAGAAGGTGGGAGAAAAAAAATTCAAATTCTGATCTCCTTTTTAGTAGGTTTTTTTTTTTATTGTGGTGGTATAGATGAAGCAATTCTGAAATTATTTTAGATGTACTACTGGGTTGTTGAATATATAAACGTGTTGATGTTTTGGAGAACTCAAAAGAATAAGAACTCATGGCAAATATGGAATAAGAGAGTACAAGAAAGGACCTGTAGGAACAGATAAGAATTGGAGATATTAATGTGAATTAGTGATTTCTAAAATACATGTATATGTGTGCATGTGTACATATATAGATATATATGTATTTGTATATATGTATGAATGCATATATGCCTATATATACATATATTTTCTAGCTGTGTTTGCTCAAAGCTTATGAAGCAAAGACACCCTGGTAGTAATGAACACCTGTAATGTCCAGATTTTAACCTCTAATACCATACATACACCATTAAAAGAGCAGGGCTTCTCAGAGAAATGGCTGATTATAGGCTTGGGGCAGGGTAGGTACAAGATAAGCCAGTAATCTCTTATTATGTGAGAAAGTAAGGAAGTACTCAAAAGAATGATGGGAGCATTACATAAACACAGAAACCAGGTTGAAGGGGCTCCTACTAGCCAAATCTGGGACAGTTGAGTCTCAAAATAATTAAATACAGTAATGAATGATAAACCATTGGGTGGGTGGGGAATAGGAATTCATGATTCCATAGTGTTAATAAATAGATAAATAAACAGTAAAGGGGAGAGCACTTGCTTACAGTATCATGTCAAGAGTAAATATGGAGAGAGTTCTGGAGTTGGGAAACCACCATTTTACCATGATTATGGTAAAGATTGAATCAGGCAATAGTCAACATTGGAAGCTAAATCCAGGGGGAATTTTTTATAAGGAGTAGGATATTTTTATTTCTCCCCAAAGACTGTTTATTAGTTGCAGAAGAAACACAAAGCTCTAAGTATATACCCCAAAGAAACTGAGCAACATCTTGATGGCTGTCAAAGTCACTATCACAGTGAGCAACAGATGAGCATCATGCTAGATGTGATACTCTTGAGAAGTATACCTATGCAGTATTCTGGCCAAAATTGTATAACCTAAACTTAATCACAAGGATGCATCAGCCAAATCCAAAATGAGGAATTTTTATTTTCTTTTAAGACAGAGTGGAGAGGTAAGAGTGAACTGTATTTTTAAAATGTCAATGTTATGAAAGGCAAAAAAAGGCTCTGGACATATCCCAGATTAAAAGTGCTAAAGAGATATGACAACTAAATGCAATATCTGATCCTAGCCTGGCTCCTGTAGTAGAGGGAGAAAAGAGTTTTTCACAAAGGACACTTTTAGGTAAACTGACAAAATTAGAATATGAAGAGTAGATTATTATATCAATATAAATTTATGTACTTATTAACTGTACTATAGTTATATAATAAAATATCCTTTTCTTAGGAAATATATACCAAAATATTTACAGTAAAGGATATATGTGATATACACTCAAAAAGTTCAGAAAAATAATTACATATATGTAAATACACAGAGCACAAATGTTCAAGTAGATGGAGGTAAAAATGTTAACAATAGGTGATCTGAGTAAATGTTTTTCCAATGTTCTTTGACCTGTTTTTTTAAATGCCTTTCTGGGTAATTTAAAGTTATTTGCAAAAAAGAAGTTAGTTAAAAAATACTAGTTAACAACTGTTAAAACAAGGTGCAGTGACTCAAATTTACAATATAATCACATCCCTTACAAATTCCAAGAGAATTTCCTATCCAACTTTATTTTCAGAAATCACAAATACTGTTTAAATAAGTAGAAAAATAAATAAATAAAGTGTAGTGAAAGAGACTAAAACATACTCAGATTTTTTTTTTTCCTCCAAGGTTCAGAATTCAGAGGATGTGATTACAGAAGGTAGGATTCGTGTCATTTTCAGCATTCCATGTGAACCCAATCTTGATGCTTTAATACAGAACCAGCATGTGAGTACTATAGTCCATATTGTTTAATTTCAGATTCATGAACTTTTAAAATGTGGAAAGATATTTTTGCCTCCTTCTTTGAATTTATTGCAGATTTTATTTATATTTTATTTAATATCGATTAAATTCTTTTCACAGTTACATCTAGTATTACTGAAAATTAAATGTAGAATCTGTTCTTAAAACTTCATGCAGATCTTTGGGGGAAAAGGAATCACTGGAATTCCATTATTAATCTTTAGTGGTTATTATATGTTACTGTGTTCAAGCTTATATTTGGCACAGTAATTAGCATACTCTTCAGGAATAGACTTAGGTTTTTTAGCCTTTCGTAATTAATCAAAACCTGCATTTTTAATTACAAGTGATAAATGGCCTTCCTGCAAAGATTATATGTCTATACTCATCTAAAGACGTACAGTTGCTAGAGAAAATCGGGAAACTGCATTTAATGTCACAGCATCATTTTTCAGGACCTTTTTCTCCAAAGATGTTCACTGACCTCCTTTTATTTTTCCCCATTAAAATAGAGGGAGGATCATGATACCTATCATTTATTCTTATTGACTGGATAATTAAATTGACAAAAATAAATTCATAATCAGCCAGATATTGCTGGCTACATACTTTTTTATTTTCTCTAATAGTAAACCCCAAAGTTTTATTATCCTGTAAAATGAATTTAAATTATTAGTTATCAGCTTAACCGTGAGGAAACTTTATGGAAGGCAGAAAATAAACTCTTACCATCAGATCTCTTTGAAAGAGGAATTCAGAAAGCACAGTTGGGAAACCATTAGAGTGGCCCATTAGATAAAGAAGCTGAAGTTCTGTTCTGGGAGTCAGCGGAGGTAGAAGACTTGTGTTCCTTCATCCCTGGCCTTTTCCAGATCTGAAAAAACCTGCCCATTCTAGTGTACAGTGTTCCTAGGCATACCTTCTCCAGTATACTTCCTCTTTACATAGCTCAACCCTTTAGCTTTAACTTTCACTCAACCCTTTTTCTTTCTCAACCCCAACATTCTCAGCCTTCTATTTTACATTTTCTAAGATATTTGTGATTATTTTAATTTTTAATTATGTCATAACCCAATATTTCTCAAAAGGAGTGTTGTTGGTATTTTGTGGAGGACAATTACATGTTAAATAGGACTATCATATATTTGGCAGAACAGTTGGCATCCCTGACTCTTGGACACAAAGTGCTAGTAGCCCGTGCCAATCGTTATAACTGAATGTGCCTCTACACATTTCCAAGTGCTTACTAGAAAAATGAGTGGTACTACCTGTGATAGAGAAATACCTTAAATCTACCTATCTTATACTACCTTAATTCTTCCTATCTATTCTAGAAAGCAAACTTGATTTGTCTATATTATTTCTAAATATGATAATGTTTTTGATGGAAAAACTGTGTTGGCATTCTTTACTTGCATATTAATATGTTTTTATTGTGACTTTATATTCCAGGCCACTAAAAAACTTATCTATTTGGTGGTCATTGTAGATATGATAATTAAAAAAATAATAGTGGCTGAATTAATTCCTTACTAATCTCTGGAAGTGTTATTTTAATTGGTGATAAAATATCCTCATATTCCTATAAAATATACATGTAACTCATATAAATATGGTATATTAATCATACTTATATATTCATTCAGATGAATATAGTATTTAATATCCATGTAAAATAAGTGTGTTATTATTATGTACATTATGTTAGGAGTGTGTGGTAGGTTAACCTGCTTGGTACTAGATTTGTGAGTAATTTGTTTCCTGGTTAAAAATTGTATGATCTGATACTTTTTTTTTTTCCTGTTTAACAGTCTCTATAGTTTCTTCTCTTACATACACAGATTAAGGTTACATTTCATTGACTGTATTAATGACAAATCTATGCATACCTTTTACTTCCATATGATAGTAAATACTAGGGGAAACATATTACTTATATCCATGTATGACAAACACTTTTGATTTTGCTCAGTAGAAACATTTTGATGACATACCATGTTTTATTTAAATATAATAATTATCAAGGCCTCATTTTGTCCCAGATTTACTGGGCCCTACTTGGAGTATAAGAATTAATTTAAAAAAAAAAAAGTTCTTGCCAAAGCAGCAGCAGATTCACAGACTCCAAGAAGAGTCTAGCAGTTACCAAAGGGAAGAGGGTGTGTAGCGTGGGCGGGGAGAGAGGGAGAAGGGGATTAAAGGGCATTATAATTAACACACATAATGTATGGGAGTCACGGGGAAGGCAATGTAGCACAGAGAAGACAGGTAGTGACTCTATATAGCATCTTACTATGCTGATGGATGGTGACTGCAGTTGGATGTGGGGGAGCACTTGATAATATAGGTGAATGTCGTAACCCCAGTGTTGTTCATGTGAGACCCTCATTAGATTGTATATCAATGATACCTTAATAAATAAATAAATAAATAAATAAATAAATTAATTAAATAGTTCTTGCCTACGGAGTTTGCCATTTGGTACTTAGAGTTTATTTCTTGAGACGATTTTATTAACTGTTAATTTCCTCCCCCTTTCTTCCATCCTTGGGAATTTTGTCCTTTAAGGAGAGAAGAGTAGGAAAACTGCTTATAGATTCTTTAGAAAAAAGTGGGGGTGGGGAAAAATGGACTTTTGAGAATCCTTATATCACCACAATCCAAAATTCAGTGGTCTTGATTATCTCCAGATTTTAAAAGTAAAGAAATAATATTTAATGCTTCGTGTTTCCCTAATTTACCGATTTGTTTTTATATTTAAAGAAATATTCTGTGAAGTACAATCCAGGATATGTGTTGGCCAGTCGCCTTGGAGTGAGTGGATACCTTGTTTCAAGGTTTACAGGAAGTATTTTTATTGGAAGAGGATCTAGGAGAAAGTAAGTTTATGTTAGAGAAATTTACTCAAGTGGCAGAAAAAACTAAATAATAAAGATAAAATGGTTAATATACGGTATTTATTTTCTCTTATTGCTCAAAATTTCTTTAAAAATTATGCATTAATTTCTCTGATGGTGATCTTTTATCTAAATGGCACATGTTTTTAAGTGGTTGGAAAGACGGTTCTTATTTTTAGCAGTTAACAAACTGAACCTTGAAAAAAGGTATCAGAAGGTGTGTGTGAATCTCAGTAATGTATTTCCCTGCATTTTCTTATTTCATTCTCCTCTATAATTACATAATCTACTTATCTGCTTTGTTAACTTGGATTTTGAAGACTTTCCTCTAGTTTTTCTATAACTGCTACTTTGGAAATAACCATGATACCTAAAATATAGAACAATCAAAACTAAGCTTTTCTAAGACTTGAAAGAAAAACTTTATTCTTTGAACAAAATTTTTAAATGTGTGTTTGTATGTGTATGTAATTCAGCCCTCATGGAGACCATAAAGCAAATGTGGGTTTGAACCTCAAATTCAACAAAAAAAATGAGGAGGTACCTGGATATACTAAGAAAGTTGGAAGTGAGTGGATGTATTCATCTGCAGCAGAACAACTTCTTGCAGAATACTTAGAGAGGTAAGTGTGTAACAAGATCCTACTAGGCATCCAGAAACAGGAACGTTAACTGTTTTGCCTTGCTGATACCAGTTTTAGAGGAAAAATGTTTCCTTTAGTATATGTGTTGTGTGTTACATATAAACTTAATTTTGTGTTATGAGCACCTTGGCTATTAGCCAAAATCGAGTAGAAAATAATCTTACATTATTTAAAATGGGAAAGGATGATAAGAATTGGCCTCCTTCTAATAAAAATTTTCCTTGCCTTGCTATCATAAATTATTTACTGCTTTGCATGTCTGTGTTCGTTGTAAGAGGACTGGTATGGATAAAGAAAACAACTCTTGGTATAGTGGATTTTCCTGAGTCTTAAAACTCCAGCCAGATAGTAGATTACTATCCTAGAATTATTGAATTTTATTGCTGTCATGGTCTAAGACATGTCTCAACCCCTTATTATAAAAATGAGAAAACTGAGTCCCAAGGATAACTGAATTACTCAGTGACAAGATTTACAGGAAATATTTTTACTTCTGATTTATAATTGAATGTTCTTTCCATTGTTCTGCTGGTATGTAACCTTCTCATATTTGAGGAACCGCTGCTAATTTCCTGCAATTGCCATAACAAAGTAACACAGACTGAGTGGATTAAAATAACAGAAATTTATTGTTTCATGGTTCTGGAGAACGGAAGACCAAAATCAAAGTGTTGGCAGGGCCACGCTTCCTCTGCAGGTTCTAGGGAAGGAACCTAGCTTCTTGTAGCCCCATGAATTCATTCCTTACCTTGCAGATGCATCACCCAAATCCTCCATCTTTACGTGGTGTTCTCTGTATGTTATCTTCACATCATCTTCCTTTTGTGTATGTCTCTGTGTCCAAATTCTCCCTTTTCAAGGTCACTAGTCATGTTGGACTAGGGCCCAACCTAATGATATCATTTAAATTTATCTCTATAAAAACCCTATTTCCTAATAAAATCACATTCCGAGGTTTGAGGGGTTGGAATTTCAATATACATATTTTTCAGGGGGAGGACACAATTCAATCCCATTATCACTTGAAAATTTAGATTATTTCTTCTAGTCATGTCCATATTTCTTTAAAATGTCATATTTGGATTACTTTTCCTTGCCTTTTCAACTTGACATATGCATTGATTTTCTACTGTGAAAGATGAAGGTTAACTCTTCTACTACCCTAATTCCTTATTTCCTCACCTCCCTACATATATGTACATATTTCCTCTCTCACTATAGTTTCATCATAATTTTTTGAATAAATCTGTAATTAAAGTTAATTGATTAAGATGATATAAATGGTCACAGCTGAACCTTACAGAACATTAAGATTATGTTTCCTTTCTTGTACACTTTTTTGTTTCCCCCATCTTATTTATTCATTTGCTTATCTTCTGTGTTCATACAACTAACTCAGACACAAAGTCTCTAATAGTTGGAAAACTTCATATGGTCAAAGATCAGGTAACTTCTCAGTTCCATTTTCTTGTAGACTTCCTCCTAAAACCTTCTATCTTCCTGCTTCAGTATTAACTAATTGCTCTAGAGCTGTTGCACAACCCTTAGTCTAGAGTTTTTCTTTACTATCATCTTGGGAACTCCCTTCACCATTCTTGTACATAGAATCCCTTTCTATCCTTGCTTTCATGCCTTCTTCTTTCTGGTTTATGTCTCCATTTTGATGGAGGACTTACTCCAGTAGCTTCCTGAGAAGAATCTTTATTCTTCTCTGATTCTTGATTGATAGTTTGCCCGAGTGTAGAATCCTAGATTAGAAATTATTTTCTCTCAGAATTTGGAAGCACTTGCTTCATTCCCTTCTTGTTTCCTTTGCTGGTGAGAAGTTCTGTACCATTCTTATGCTCAGTTGTTTTGTGTGATCTATTTTCATTTTCAGAAATCTTTTCTTTGCCAGTGCTATTTAATAATGTGATGACATTTGCCTTTTGATATAGATATTTTTCTTTTCTTTTGTTATTCAGCCCTTTCAGACTTAAGTGATTACCCTCCATTCTGAGAAACTTTCTTAATTATTTCTTTGATAATTTCCACTTCACCAATTGTTCTGTTCCTTCTGGGACTCCAGTTACTTAGATGTTAGGACCTTCTGGATTAATCATCTTAATTTTCTTATCTCTTCTCATCCATTTTCTATATTGTTATACTTCTACTCTATGGAGAATTTCTTGAACTTTATCTTACATAATTTTTAAAGTTTTATCTAATTTAATCATTTTTAATTTCTTAGAGTGTCTCCTTATTCTTTGGCATCCCTATCTTATAGCATCTTGTTCTTATAATGAATGAATTATCTTCTTTTATTTATCTGAAGATAGTAATTCTAGATTTCTTCTATGTATTTTTCTGTTTTCTCCAAATTGCCTTTTTTTCTGTGTGATCTGATCTTTCCCTTCATGTTAAAGTTTTTTTGTTTGTTGTTTTGTTCTGTTATTTTTCTTATCTAGTGGTTCTCTGATATCCCATCATATTTAAGAGTGAGGCACTAAAAAGCTGATTAGAAACTGAGTGTGCTTTGTGGGACTTGTCAGTTGGGACTTGGCTACTGCTGTAGAGGACCTCCAAATATCCCTACCTATATGTGTATCTTTTCTCTTAGGCTGGCTAGTTTTATCAAAGAGGAATCCTCAAGCCTTTTCCTTAGAGGACAGATGTGAGGAACAAAACTGACTTCTGGAAATTAACCATGGAAAGGGGGGTCTCATGTAGTGGATCTTATGACACAGTGATACACCCCCCAGATGTCCCTTCAGGACTAAAGGACCTATTCCCTTGGCAGCAGGAATGTAGCTATCTGATAGCTCTCAGCTATAAGCTCTCTTCAGGAATTGACTAGCAAAAGAGAACCACTTTGCCTAAAGTTGTGTCATCTTCCCACAGCAGCCACAGGTCTAATACCTGATCAACAAAGAGGTATAAAGCCCTAGCCAACTTGATTTCCACAATTTGGGACAAGTCCAAGGTCCATCCTAGTTTGAGATTTCTGTGAGGCTGGGCAAGGAGTTCATTAAGAATGAATCACAGCCCAACTTCTCTCTGGGCCCAGTTCTGCTTCCTTCCTTTTTTCTTTCCCTTCCCCAAGTGTTGATTCCGTAAGAATAATAAATAATAAACTAATAAACTTTCTGTATGCTTATCTCCATCGTCCTGAAGATGTTACACTTTCTAGCCTGCTTCCTAGTGATACATTATATAGTAGTTACACTTTCAATCCCCTGATTTCAATATGGCACCTATCCTCTCCTCCTCGTGCCCCACCCATCCAACCTATTCCCTGTGCCTGGTATACCTCAGGCTAGAGCATCATCCATTCAACCTCTCCAAAAGAAAAACTACAGATTTTATGCTGGAATGGAAGGTGAGTAATCACATGGCTGTCTAACTGAGTATTATACAACATTTTCAACTAAATACCTATTAAACTTCACCCCATACTAAAGCATTAAAATGCACCTGGAGCCCATAATTCCTGAGCTTTTACACACTTCTGCAGTTTGAATCAATCAACCTACTTCCTGTTGACTTCCCACACTGGTGGCTTTCGAGTGTGGTTTATTCCTATCTGTCAAATTGCTTAACACTTACTCATAGTTACCAGTTTCTAAAATTTTGTTAACACATATATGCAATTATCACATATATCACATTTACTTCTCTCCCCATCTGTCTTTCTAGGTCTATGACCTTTTTTACTTTACTGCTCTTTTAGTGGGTTGGGAATGGAGCAAAAATAAACACGTGTTCAACTTGCTATTTGTATTTGAAACTCCTACACTATTCAGGAAGCAATGGGGTTTTGAGGAATATCAGAAGAAATTGTTAATGTGTTTTCATTAAATGTGGAGTGCTCCAGCTTTGTTGTAAAAATTAGAAAATTAACCTGTAGATATTATTTTTGTTCATTAATCACCTGTCACAATCTAAAGATAGTCAATAAAGTTTGTAAGTAATTGAAGTTTATTATAGTTTTTGAATTGAATCATTTCTCCCTCAGCTACTGAGAGCTTTTGAAGCATGTGAATATTTTCAGATCTTTTTGTCTCTAACCCTTATTGATACTCTGTGTGTAATAATCAGTCCTCAATATATTTTATATGTCCCCTTAGCATCCAAAATTACCTGATAGGAAGTTTATATGAAGTCAGGCATAAACATATTTTTTAAGGCAATATGTTCGATTTTTTGTTTGTTTGGCTAGAGCTCCAGAACTATTTAGTTATATAGCCAAAAATAGCCAAGAGGATGTGTTCTATGAAGATGACATTTGGCCTGAAGAAAATGAGAACGGGTAAGTAAAATTTATGGTATTTATTGCCTCACAGTTCAGCTTAGTGGTTCTAGTGAAAGGTATAGTAACTAATTTATCAAGAATTTATACTACTTTTGGAGGGAAGATTTTATATATATATATTTTGTTTCTGCTTTAAGATCTTAATATAAATCTATATTTCATGTATATCAGTAAAGTACTTTTAAACTGTATTTGTGATTTTAAAATAAGTAACATGTCCATGTTTATAATTAGTTGTAATTAAATATGATTATTAATTATATATTTGATGTATATAATTCAAAGCCCTCAAAAAGTTTATATTAGGCCTTTTATATAATCCCTCAAAAAGTTTTAATTAATGTGAAAAATTACTGTTTTTAATGTAGTGCTGAGAAAGTTCAAGAAATTATTACTTGGCTAAAGGGGCATCCTGTCAGTACTTTGTCTCGTTCTTCTTGTGATTTACAAATTCTGGATACCGCTATTGTTGAGAAAATTGAGGAAGAAGTTGAAAAGTGCAAGGTACTAATTTTCAATACCAAGACTATTGATGAGGTTTAATGTTAAGTGAACTACACCAAATAAAGCATAAATTCCAGTGATTTTAATTTATGTCAAATAACTCTGTAATTTTTTTCAAAAGTTCCAGCTATTTCCAGTGGCCATTAATAAGTTTATCTAAATAAACTTTATGTCATTGCAGTGTTTCTAATTTTGGGAATTAATAATTTGTGATTCTAGTCAAAATAGAAAATCTGTTATTGAGAAACAAAGTTAACCCTGATTCCTTCCTATTTTAAGTTCTTTAAAGACCCAGTTCACCTTTTAGAGAATAGAAACATTTTATTTAATTCCCTTTTACAGGCTCACTTCTAAAATGTACTTTTCCACTCACAATCTTATTCAGTTACCATTTTTTAAATCCCACTTAATCTTTCCTATTTGTTTATGTCTCAATTTTAAAAAAATGATAGCCTTCTGTAAAGGCTTAACTATTTTATTTTGATTCCCTATCTTGATGCAGTAAAAAGTTGATTATATTCCTTCCTTTAACTTCTAATTTTATTTTCCACACATTTGCCATTTTATTAAGATGCTGTTGCTTTGCTAACACAGGGCCTTAAAAGTTAAGTAAGTTAACTGGACTCTAAAGCTCTCTTTTCCCCATCCCTCTTTCAATATTTATAACCTTAGATAAGACACATAACCTTTCCATGCCTCCATTTCCTCACTGGTAAAATGGGACTAAAATAGTACCTACCTCATAGGGTCATCAAAAGGATTAACTGAGTTAATATATATAAACTCCTAGTAATGCCTAGCTATTATTGCTTAATGATGCTTGGCTATTAATATTTGGATTCTCTTATCACATACTCAAGAGCTGTGAATACAGTCTGGAAAATCACCACTAAATGACTCTTTTTCTATTTAGGAAAAAATTTAAGATGAGAACCAAGATTTTTATTTTTGAAATGTTATTAATATTTAGATAAAGATAGAAAACCTATGTTTCTTTTTGATTTTCTTTAATGTAGAACAAAATCTATTTGTCCAGCATAGTTTTTTAAATGAATTTTCCGCTTAACAAAATTATATAACTAAGCCTCTAAGTTTTATTTTAACCATTTTGATACAGAGTTTTCTAAGATGTTTTAAAAATTTTCCCCTTACTTTACAAACAGAAGATACAAGTTGTCTATTGTTTTGATTATGTTTTTTAAATTGTGTGTGCACATAGATAAGACAGGAATTTTTTTTAACCTGTTAATTTGTCAAGGAAATGCAGGTATGAGTGATTTTTTTTTCCTTTTAGTGTAATAATCTTATTAGAGTGATAAAGAAAAGAAGATAAAACTAGAAAATAAAGACAACATTCTGAACATAATTTAAACTTTTCTTTATAACTCAGGGTCATCATTAAAAGTATTTTCTTATTGGACAGTGGTTTCCCAACTCAGCTTATTATCAGAATTACTGGAGGAGCTTTTTTAAAAACACGCATTCCAGATTCCACCCCTAGAACAGTACTTCTCAAACTTTAATGTGTAAGCAAATGACTGGAGGATGTTATTAAAATTTTGATGCAGTAGTTCTTGGATGAGGCTTGAGGTGCTGCCTTTTTGACATTTTGAGTAACCAGACCTGAGAATTTCTCATTTAGTAGTTGTGGGTTTGGTCCTGTTGTGAAAATTCCCCAGTTACTAATTCTCCTGATGAGTCAGGTTTGGTTGCCACATCCTGTAATCAGTGCTATAACATAATAATGCCTAAGGATATATTAGAGCATATAGGTTGCTGTTTTTTCATATGCAATACTCTAGGCACAGTTCTTAGAGTTTTTTTTAAAATCACTTTAAATTTCTTCTCTTACTTTTTCTCCTTCTTGCTGCTTTTAGTAGCACCAGTCATACTCTATTAGTCCTTCTAGTCTCCCCTGGGCTAGAAACATGAGACACCTTGTCAGTGAGGCCTTCACTGTTCCCCCATTTAAAACAGCTATCTCTTCCCACACCGATGTTCCCCCTCAGCTGCTTTATTTTTCTCTATGCTTTTTACCTTCAAACATACGATCTATTTTCCTTGTTTTGTTTCTTGTGTGTTTCTCTAACTAGAAGAAAAGAACAGGTCATCCTTTATCCCCAGTATATGGCATATAAGGAGAACTCAGTAAATACATGTTGAAAGAATAAATGAAATGTCTCTATAATAAAAGAAAATAGATTATGTTTAAAGGTTTGCACATTTTGCAGTGTATAAATACATGAACTTTATAGTGTATGGTCTCTACCAATAGGTTAACTGCTGCCATTTTTCTTATTAGGTTAGAATTCCCTTTTTTTAAAAAAAATTAATGTGAATGGTAGTTATGAATTGCAATGGATATAAATTATTCTCACATTTTTATTAGGTAGAACCAGTAATTCTGTTTCCATCTTACAAATGGAAGGAAACTGATGCTTAAGTTAATTCACAAAACTAACAAGTAACAAAGATAGAATAAAATTCTTCTTTCAGGATTTTTAGATCAAAATAGTCAAACTTCAAAGCCAATTTCACAATAGATTCCAAAAGCAAGGACTTTGTTAAATGAATGCCACCTTAATTTTATAATTAGCCACAAAACTCACAGTACTTTCATAGATCAATGCTTTATACCACTTTTTACTTATATGCCTTTCTTGATCATTGTATAACAATTCTTTTTAGCATAAAAAAACATTTGAATAGGGTATGTAATATACATAAAGTTCAAAACAGGCAAATCTAATCTTTTGTGTTAGAAGTAAGGTTACTTTTAGGAAGGGTAATAACTAGGAGAGAATATAGGGATTTTTATGTTTTACTTAGTAATGTTCTGTGTCTTGAACAGGGTGTGGTTATAAATATAAATGCTCATACTATAAAAATTCGCCAGGGTGTGTACACTGATTCTTGATTGATAGTTTGCCCGAGTGTAGAATCCTAGATTAGAAATTATTTTCTCTCAGAATTTGGAAGCACTTGCTTCATTCCCTTCTTGTTTCCTTTGCTGGTGAGAAGTTCTGTACCATTCTTATGCTCAGTTGTTTTGTGTGATCTATTTTCATTTTCAGAAATCTTTTCTTTGCCAGTGCTATTTAATAATGTGATGACATTTGCCTTTTGATATAGATATTTTTCTTTTCTTTTGTTATTCAGCCCTTTCAGACTTAAGTGATTACCCTCCATTCTGAGAAACTTTCTTAATTATTTCTTTGATAATTTCCACTTCACCAATTGTTCTGTTCCTTCTGGGACTCCAGTTACTTAGATGTTAGGACCTTCTGGATTAATCATCTTAATTTTCTTATCTCTTCTCATCCATTTTCTATATTGTTATACTTCTACTCTATGGAGAATTTCTTGAACTTTATCTTACATAATTTTTAAAGTTTTATCTAATTTAATCATTTTTAATTTCTTAGAGTGTCTCCTTATTCTTTGGCATCCCTATCTTATAGCATCTTGTTCTTATAATGAATGAATTATCTTCTTTTATTTATCTGAAGATAGTAATTCTAGATTTCTTCTATGTATTTTTCTGTTTTCTCCAAATTGCCTTTTTTTCTGTGTGATCTGATCTTTCCCTTCATGTTAAAGTTTTTTTGTTTGTTGTTTTGTTCTGTTATTTTTCTTATCTAGTGGTTCTCTGATATCCCATCATATTTAAGAGTGAGGCACTAAAAAGCTGATTAGAAACTGAGTGTGCTTTGTGGGACTTGTCAGTTGGGACTTGGCTACTGCTGTAGAGGACCTCCAAATATCCCTACCTATATGTGTATCTTTTCTCTTAGGCTGGCTAGTTTTATCAAAGAGGAATCCTCAAGCCTTTTCCTTAGAGGACAGATGTGAGGAACAAAACTGACTTCTGGAAATTAACCATGGAAAGGGGGGTCTCATGTAGTGGATCTTATGACACAGTGATACACCCCCCAGATGTCCCTTCAGGACTAAAGGACCTATTCCCTTGGCAGCAGGAATGTAGCTATCTGATAGCTCTCAGCTATAAGCTCTCTTCAGGAATTGACTAGCAAAAGAGAACCACTTTGCCTAAAGTTGTGTCATCTTCCCACAGCAGCCACAGGTCTAATACCTGATCAACAAAGAGGTATAAAGCCCTAGCCAACTTGATTTCCACAATTTGGGACAAGTCCAAGGTCCATCCTAGTTTGAGATTTCTGTGAGGCTGGGCAAGGAGTTCATTAAGAATGAATCACAGCCCAACTTCTCTCTGGGCCCAGTTCTGCTTCCTTCCTTTTTTCTTTCCCTTCCCCAAGTGTTGATTCCGTAAGAATAATAAATAATAAACTAATAAACTTTCTGTATGCTTATCTCCATCGTCCTGAAGATGTTACACTTTCTAGCCTGCTTCCTAGTGATACATTATATAGTAGTTACACTTTCAATCCCCTGATTTCAATATGGCACCTATCCTCTCCTCCTCGTGCCCCACCCATCCAACCTATTCCCTGTGCCTGGTATACCTCAGGCTAGAGCATCATCCATTCAACCTCTCCAAAAGAAAAACTACAGATTTTATGCTGGAATGGAAGGTGAGTAATCACATGGCTGTCTAACTGAGTATTATACAACATTTTCAACTAAATACCTATTAAACTTCACCCCATACTAAAGCATTAAAATGCACCTGGAGCCCATAATTCCTGAGCTTTTACACACTTCTGCAGTTTGAATCAATCAACCTACTTCCTGTTGACTTCCCACACTGGTGGCTTTCGAGTGTGGTTTATTCCTATCTGTCAAATTGCTTAACACTTACTCATAGTTACCAGTTTCTAAAATTTTGTTAACACATATATGCAATTATCACATATATCACATTTACTTCTCTCCCCATCTGTCTTTCTAGGTCTATGACCTTTTTTACTTTACTGCTCTTTTAGTGGGTTGGGAATGGAGCAAAAATAAACACGTGTTCAACTTGCTATTTGTATTTGAAACTCCTACACTATTCAGGAAGCAATGGGGTTTTGAGGAATATCAGAAGAAATTGTTAATGTGTTTTCATTAAATGTGGAGTGCTCCAGCTTTGTTGTAAAAATTAGAAAATTAACCTGTAGATATTATTTTTGTTCATTAATCACCTGTCACAATCTAAAGATAGTCAATAAAGTTTGTAAGTAATTGAAGTTTATTATAGTTTTTGAATTGAATCATTTCTCCCTCAGCTACTGAGAGCTTTTGAAGCATGTGAATATTTTCAGATCTTTTTGTCTCTAACCCTTATTGATACTCTGTGTGTAATAATCAGTCCTCAATATATTTTATATGTCCCCTTAGCATCCAAAATTACCTGATAGGAAGTTTATATGAAGTCAGGCATAAACATATTTTTTAAGGCAATATGTTCGATTTTTTGTTTGTTTGGCTAGAGCTCCAGAACTATTTAGTTATATAGCCAAAAATAGCCAAGAGGATGTGTTCTATGAAGATGACATTTGGCCTGAAGAAAATGAGAACGGGTAAGTAAAATTTATGGTATTTATTGCCTCACAGTTCAGCTTAGTGGTTCTAGTGAAAGGTATAGTAACTAATTTATCAAGAATTTATACTACTTTTGGAGGGAAGATTTTATATATATATATTTTGTTTCTGCTTTAAGATCTTAATATAAATCTATATTTCATGTATATCAGTAAAGTACTTTTAAACTGTATTTGTGATTTTAAAATAAGTAACATGTCCATGTTTATAATTAGTTGTAATTAAATATGATTATTAATTATATATTTGATGTATATAATTCAAAGCCCTCAAAAAGTTTATATTAGGCCTTTTATATAATCCCTCAAAAAGTTTTAATTAATGTGAAAAATTACTGTTTTTAATGTAGTGCTGAGAAAGTTCAAGAAATTATTACTTGGCTAAAGGGGCATCCTGTCAGTACTTTGTCTCGTTCTTCTTGTGATTTACAAATTCTGGATACCGCTATTGTTGAGAAAATTGAGGAAGAAGTTGAAAAGTGCAAGGTACTAATTTTCAATACCAAGACTATTGATGAGGTTTAATGTTAAGTGAACTACACCAAATAAAGCATAAATTCCAGTGATTTTAATTTATGTCAAATAACTCTGTAATTTTTTTCAAAAGTTCCAGCTATTTCCAGTGGCCATTAATAAGTTTATCTAAATAAACTTTATGTCATTGCAGTGTTTCTAATTTTGGGAATTAATAATTTGTGATTCTAGTCAAAATAGAAAATCTGTTATTGAGAAACAAAGTTAACCCTGATTCCTTCCTATTTTAAGTTCTTTAAAGACCCAGTTCACCTTTTAGAGAATAGAAACATTTTATTTAATTCCCTTTTACAGGCTCACTTCTAAAATGTACTTTTCCACTCACAATCTTATTCAGTTACCATTTTTTAAATCCCACTTAATCTTTCCTATTTGTTTATGTCTCAATTTTAAAAAAATGATAGCCTTCTGTAAAGGCTTAACTATTTTATTTTGATTCCCTATCTTGATGCAGTAAAAAGTTGATTATATTCCTTCCTTTAACTTCTAATTTTATTTTCCACACATTTGCCATTTTATTAAGATGCTGTTGCTTTGCTAACACAGGGCCTTAAAAGTTAAGTAAGTTAACTGGACTCTAAAGCTCTCTTTTCCCCATCCCTCTTTCAATATTTATAACCTTAGATAAGACACATAACCTTTCCATGCCTCCATTTCCTCACTGGTAAAATGGGACTAAAATAGTACCTACCTCATAGGGTCATCAAAAGGATTAACTGAGTTAATATATATAAACTCCTAGTAATGCCTAGCTATTATTGCTTAATGATGCTTGGCTATTAATATTTGGATTCTCTTATCACATACTCAAGAGCTGTGAATACAGTCTGGAAAATCACCACTAAATGACTCTTTTTCTATTTAGGAAAAAATTTAAGATGAGAACCAAGATTTTTATTTTTGAAATGTTATTAATATTTAGATAAAGATAGAAAACCTATGTTTCTTTTTGATTTTCTTTAATGTAGAACAAAATCTATTTGTCCAGCATAGTTTTTTAAATGAATTTTCCGCTTAACAAAATTATATAACTAAGCCTCTAAGTTTTATTTTAACCATTTTGATACAGAGTTTTCTAAGATGTTTTAAAAATTTTCCCCTTACTTTACAAACAGAAGATACAAGTTGTCTATTGTTTTGATTATGTTTTTTAAATTGTGTGTGCACATAGATAAGACAGGAATTTTTTTTAACCTGTTAATTTGTCAAGGAAATGCAGGTATGAGTGATTTTTTTTTCCTTTTAGTGTAATAATCTTATTAGAGTGATAAAGAAAAGAAGATAAAACTAGAAAATAAAGACAACATTCTGAACATAATTTAAACTTTTCTTTATAACTCAGGGTCATCATTAAAAGTATTTTCTTATTGGACAGTGGTTTCCCAACTCAGCTTATTATCAGAATTACTGGAGGAGCTTTTTTAAAAACACGCATTCCAGATTCCACCCCTAGAACAGTACTTCTCAAACTTTAATGTGTAAGCAAATGACTGGAGGATGTTATTAAAATTTTGATGCAGTAGTTCTTGGATGAGGCTTGAGGTGCTGCCTTTTTGACATTTTGAGTAACCAGACCTGAGAATTTCTCATTTAGTAGTTGTGGGTTTGGTCCTGTTGTGAAAATTCCCCAGTTACTAATTCTCCTGATGAGTCAGGTTTGGTTGCCACATCCTGTAATCAGTGCTATAACATAATAATGCCTAAGGATATATTAGAGCATATAGGTTGCTGTTTTTTCATATGCAATACTCTAGGCACAGTTCTTAGAGTTTTTTTTAAAATCACTTTAAATTTCTTCTCTTACTTTTTCTCCTTCTTGCTGCTTTTAGTAGCACCAGTCATACTCTATTAGTCCTTCTAGTCTCCCCTGGGCTAGAAACATGAGACACCTTGTCAGTGAGGCCTTCACTGTTCCCCCATTTAAAACAGCTATCTCTTCCCACACCGATGTTCCCCCTCAGCTGCTTTATTTTTCTCTATGCTTTTTACCTTCAAACATACGATCTATTTTCCTTGTTTTGTTTCTTGTGTGTTTCTCTAACTAGAAGAAAAGAACAGGTCATCCTTTATCCCCAGTATATGGCATATAAGGAGAACTCAGTAAATACATGTTGAAAGAATAAATGAAATGTCTCTATAATAAAAGAAAATAGATTATGTTTAAAGGTTTGCACATTTTGCAGTGTATAAATACATGAACTTTATAGTGTATGGTCTCTACCAATAGGTTAACTGCTGCCATTTTTCTTATTAGGTTAGAATTCCCTTTTTTTAAAAAAAATTAATGTGAATGGTAGTTATGAATTGCAATGGATATAAATTATTCTCACATTTTTATTAGGTAGAACCAGTAATTCTGTTTCCATCTTACAAATGGAAGGAAACTGATGCTTAAGTTAATTCACAAAACTAACAAGTAACAAAGATAGAATAAAATTCTTCTTTCAGGATTTTTAGATCAAAATAGTCAAACTTCAAAGCCAATTTCACAATAGATTCCAAAAGCAAGGACTTTGTTAAATGAATGCCACCTTAATTTTATAATTAGCCACAAAACTCACAGTACTTTCATAGATCAATGCTTTATACCACTTTTTACTTATATGCCTTTCTTGATCATTGTATAACAATTCTTTTTAGCATAAAAAAACATTTGAATAGGGTATGTAATATACATAAAGTTCAAAACAGGCAAATCTAATCTTTTGTGTTAGAAGTAAGGTTACTTTTAGGAAGGGTAATAACTAGGAGAGAATATAGGGATTTTTATGTTTTACTTAGTAATGTTCTGTGTCTTGAACAGGGTGTGGTTATAAATATAAATGCTCATACTATAAAAATTCGCCAGGGTGTGTACTTACAGCTTTGCATTTTTCTATATGCCTTATACTTAAAAATTTTTACTTTAAAAATATTTGAAGAATTAATTATTACTCCTCCTTAGTGCATCTGAAGAACTTCAGATATTCTTAAAATTACTCGTTTCATTTGGCTTTTAAAAATCCAGACATGTCCAAGTGCTGGACAATAATTTTATAATTTTATCTATTTTTTAATACTTAAAAATTATCTTTCTTCAGCAAAGAAAAAACAATAAGAAGGTACGAGTGACAGTGAAGCCCCATTTGCTGTACAGAGTAAGTTTCCTATCAAAGAATTCAAAGTTATTGTTTCTACTTTGAAAGTACAGAAGGAATAAAATGTTTTCAATATATTAATAGAAAATTTTTTAAAAATTAGAGTTAGCAATAATTAAAGCGTTCTTCTCTTCAGCCTTTAGAACAGCAACATGGAGTCATTCCTGATTGGGATGCAGAATTTCGCCTCTTTGACCGTGTTGTGAATGTGAGAGAGAACTTCTCAGTTCCAGCTGGCCTGCGGGGCACCATCATAGGAATCAAAGGGGGTAATGTCTCAATACTTGACATGTCTTCAACTGCATTTATATTATAAAGTAAAACAAATTTCTATGTCTTACAACTAAGCACATGTAAATCTATGTAAAAAAAAGCTATAAATAAGGAAAAAAATATAAATCCTCTTATATTTTAGGTAATTTTTTGTTTAAGTTTTCTAAGTCAGAATTAGCTTTTACTGCCTTGAGTAATCATCTGGGAAATGATTAAAAGAAGGGAAAGTTAAGGAAGGGCTGCTGAGAATTTGGTAGTATATATATAACACAATACATACATACATATATATTTTTTGTGAACCTGTGAGAAAAGTTTCATCACTTCTGTTAGGCTTTCATCTAGTCTTGCTCAAACCTTTACACTAATTGCTATTGTCATCTTTTGATTCTGTGGAGAAACAAACATGCTCTATGAGCTTATTTATATTGAAAGATTTGAAAATAAAATGTGCATATTAATTTGAATTTTATGACTACAACTAGATCATATATATAAAACAGACCTATCTGTTGTATAGTAGGGTGCATATAATTAACAATACTGTGCTCTACATTTAAAAATAGTTAAGATGGTAAATTTTATGTATTTTGTACAAAAAAATGAAAATTGAGAAAGTGGACAAAAAAGGAAAGAAGCAGCTAAAGAGCTTAATGTCCTCATAGGGATGCCATGAGTGAGCAGCTTTGCAGCAAACATTCCAAAAAAAGTCAACCCAGCATGAATCAGCAAATCCAGTGCCCAGGAGTTAGGGTACTGGCAGCACTGTCCTTCCCTATCTTAGGCGCTCAACCTTGGTCTCATTGTCCAGAAAGGAGGAAGAGCAGGCAGGCCATGAGCCTAAGAGAATTGCTTATGTAGCGTCAACAATGTGCCAGGCACTTTCACATTTTGCATTTGACCCTCACAACCACCTAAGAGGTAGATGTTATTGCCTTACCTGAGAGGTTAAGTGACTCACCCCACATTTACACAGATAAGTGGCAAGGCTGGGATTCTTACCTAACTTTGAGCAGTGGTTCTCTACGCACCCTTTTGGGGTCTTGCCTGCCTACCTACCTCTGAAAGAGACTCCTCTTTCCTGATTCTCTTTTTAATTTCTTGGACATATTTCTGACTGCTGGAAATGAAGAAAGGAAGTTCTGAGCTAGATATGGTAAGGGTCAGATGGGTATAAGGAAGCAACTCTCTTGCTGCTATCTGTTCAACCACTTGTGTCAGTTGTTCAAATGTTGAGCTTATTAGACTATAGTTAGTTTGTCCTGATAAGGCCTTAGGACTCTGATAACATAGAAGTTTACTTCCTTCTGACAACTCCTATCAGTAATAAGATTGAGTGACCACTTGAAATTTTGTCTTGAGAAGGATTTTAAAGCTACTTTATTTACACTGAGTGAAAAAGAGTTCTGGCATTGATTAACTGTGTCTGCCATGGACATGGAATAGCTGAGATATCATCTCCATTAAAGGTGGCAAATAATCCTCAATAATCTTCTAAGGAAGTGACCCCTTCCTCAGACAGGAAATGGGAACCTAGAAGGTGGGTTTTTAGCCTTCTGAGAAGAAACTCCTGTCTCTTACAGAGCCTCCCTTTCTTGGGTTTAGATTTTAGGTGAAAGTGTCAGGTTGAAAGGTACAGTTGGTGGTGGAGGATGGGTGAGCTATACAAGCCTCATTTCAGCTGGACAATGAGGGATTACAGATGGGGGAGACATCCTACCACTCCTACCTGGGATTAGCATAGTGTCAAATACTGTATTAGTCAGGACTTTTAGAGAAACAGAACTAATAGAATGTAAAGTGTGGGGCAATGAGTAGATGGAGAGAGAAATAGTCAATCGAAGTTATGTGATTACTAATTTGGACTTAGAATTCAAAATATTACTTTAGCTAATTATTTCACTTTACCTTGGTGTTTTGGGTAGATTTAGTCTTTCTAAACATATCACCCTCCCTGCCAGATTCATTCTTCTCTGCTCCTATCTTAAGTTTATTGTGCCACTGTCTTCCTCATGTCTCAATTATGATATCCATAATCCTACCAAGTCATCTCAGCCAGAACTTTGGAGTCATATTTGGTATCTTCATCGTTTCCATTTATACAGGTTACAAACTCCTGCCAATGCTAATAATATATATTCTCTCCTTTCAGCTCCCCTCATGAGATCTGTGTTTTCACATCTTCATTACCTTTTGTCTGTCTTTACTGTAAGACCTTCTAAATTCGAAACTCCAAAGATACCTCTCTTTTTCTCTTTCTTTTTAATTTTTTTTATTTTTATTTTGGTATCATTAATCTACAATTACATGAGGAACATTATGTTTACTAGACTCCCCCCTTCACCAAGTCCCCCCGACATACTCCATTACTCACTGTCCATCAGTGTAGTAAGATGCTATAAAATCACTAGTTGTCTTCTCTGTGTTGCACAACCCTCCCCTTGCCCCCCCCACATTATAC